ATCCCTGTTGGGAGATTTAAAGGTGTGAGCCCGTGTCTGTCATTTATTTTTGTACACCATTGAGGGCTATAAGTCCAAAAGTAATTTTTACTATTCATTACAGTGGGTTTAATGTATTTCAGAATAATTGATTCCAATTTTTATGAATTATACGCCCTACTGGTATGCGAGTTCATTATGTGTCGTGAAAATTATTTATGAAATATATTGAAATGAAGAAAGAAAGGAAATTGAAATTTCAGTTGGCACAATGTGCAAAATACTTGTGATTCGGAGTTGAGGACGAGATCCTTGCATTTTATGTATGATGTGAAATATTTAAACCGGGCTACAAGTCGCGGTGGAAGTTATATAAGGACGAAGTCCTTGTGGTGAAATATTTTTAAGTTTAAAATTTTCCCTTTGTGAAATGTAATTTATACTATAATATTAATAGGGAGTCATGCATGTTAGGCTTATCTGATAATTCTTGTATATTTTATATGCATATTCAGCCATTTTCGTGTTGTAAACATTGAGTTTTAACCTATAAGATGAGTGCCCAGGTGGCGCTAAAGGTGCCTTGTTAAATCGGGCAAATAGTCACAAAATACGAACACCCACTCAACCACAAGTTCACCCATACAAAAATTACCAAAATTTGACACCAAATCGCCACTCAATTCCTCAAATCAACTCACCAAATCCCTAACCTCCAACTCCTAATTTTCACCTTAAATACACACTAACTAGGTGGGAAAATAAATGGGGAACCAATATTATTGATCAAAAATAAGCATAAGGGACTTACCTCACGAAATTCCTCGAAAATGCTCTCAAATATTGCCCTAGACCAAGTTTGCAAATCCAAAATGATAAAAATCACGAAGCCCTTCGGTTTTAAACACTGCCTAGGCTTTTCGCACTTGTGGCCAATTATCAGCACCTGCAGAACCTCTTTTGCGGCCCGTGATCTGCTTCTGCGGAATTAGCTCTTGGCACCCATTCCGCTTCTGCGGTCCAAATCTCGCTTCTGCGGGTTCGCATTTGCGCAAACACGTCCGCCTCTACTGACAGCCTTCCCACACTCGTCCGTTTCTATGACCAATCTTCCACAGAAGCGACTCTGCTTCTGCGGCCTTCACACCACATCTGCGACCATTGGCCAATTCCCCTAGCCCCGCACCTGTGTCCCATTGCTCGCTTCTGCGGGCTTGCACCTGCGGTCAGCCTTGCGCAGGTGCGATTATACCAGAATCAGCCCAGCACCAGAAAATCTTCTAAGTCCAAAAATGATTCGTTAACCATTCGAAACTCACTCGAGGCCCCCGGGGCCTCAACCAAATATACCAACCAGTCCTAAAACATCACACGAACTTAGTCGAGCCTTTAAATTATATCAAACAATGCTAAAAACACGAATTATACATCGATTCAAGCCTAATGAACTTCAAAGTTTTAAACTTCTACATCCGACGTCGAAACCTATCAAATCAAGCCCGATTGATTTCAAATTTCGCACACAATTCATAATTGACATTACAGACCTACTCCAACTTTCGAGGTCGGATTCTGATTTGGGATCAGAATCAGAATCCGACCCCGATACTAAAATAGAGGTTTAAGTCATAGGAATATGACCAAACGGAAGCTAAATTTTAGAAGGATAATTTATACGCTAATAATTAAGTTTTAAGTTTAATTAGAAAAGTTAGTTACACTGATTTACGAGTCCATTATCATCCAACTATCTGAAATTATGGACTAAAGTTACTTTTCTTTCGTTTGTGACAGAAAAGTGAGTCAACTATTCTTATTACACGTAAATGTTCATTCAACCGGAATTATCAAACTTTCTGGTGGAAAAATATGACGTGATACTCGTAGTCCATATGAACTTTTTATATTTTTGAACCATATAAAATAATTAATACCCAAACAAAACATAAAAAATCCACCCAGACACCCGACATGACCCGCTAAAAATAAAAATCTACCACTAAATAAAACTAAACGCTAAAAGGCATCCATGTTGCAAATGCATTTCTCTTCTTCTTATAAAAAGAATGTGTTTTCCAAGGTTTTACTCTAGTTTTATAAAATAATAGCGGGTACAAGGTTAAGGAACTAAGGATTAGAGTGACTTGTATTTTTCTTCTTTTTTTTCACGATTTGTTTTCTACTTTTTATAAAACTAGTCCTAGGGTACACATTTTGTACCTATATCAATGAATATATATTTATTTAATAATGCATAAATATTACTAGATAGTTTATTTGAGTTATATAAAATTATAAAATAAAATTTTAAAAAAAAACTGAAATAAATAAATGATGTTCTCATTTAGTTAGCACAATAAATAAAGAAATCATATACCACAAAAAAAAAAATTGGATGCCTTATTATGATTTAAAAGGACGTATATTGGAATATCTTATGAAAATTATTGTTACCTAATTCTAAGAACAAAACACTAAAATACTTTGAATCACAACTATTTAACGATTTATCAAATAACATAAATTAAAAATTAAATCTTTTGATCTTCAAAAAATTTAGATGAAAAGGTTGGCTCTATACCTCAAAATTTGACGGTGGCAATGTAAGTTTAAGGAGTAACTAATGTTGAATAATATTTACAACAAATATAAAAAGAGAATATAGCAAAACATTGTCACTTGTTTAACTGAATGCAAGAGAAAAAAATGTAACTCATTTATATACACTATTTCATCTTTACTGATTTAAATTTGCATTGTTATCAATTTGACTCTTAATTTTGTATTATAATTAGTTTTGTTTTTCTTATTTTTTTCACCGTTAATACTTTTCTTGCGAAAATAAATTTAGGCACCCTAAAAGTTTTGTCAAATTGACCAATAAGTTTACTTATATAATAGATTTGAAAAATAATTCGATTGAATTCTTCTGCTAATTAGTTTATTTAAAAACTTAATTATTTATTCTTAGCATTAAAGAAAAAACTTATTTTCTGTTAATTATAATTCTTTATATTAGCTCATCTCTATTTTTATAATTATAATTTTATTCAATAAAAAAATTATTTTTAAATAGTTAAAAAGTTATTAGTATGTCAATTTTTTTTATCGTTGGTGCTTCCAGAATTATTGTGTTTTTGACTTTTATATAATTTTGCTAACTCACAATCTCTAACGTTTGAGTAAGTAAAGAATATTATAGTTTAATACAACTTTAATTTTAACGGGTTTTAAATAAGAAAATTAATATAAGGTAAAAAGTTTAATAATTTTGAAGTCCTAAATATTAGGACTTCCTACCTAGTTCACTAAGGAAATATTTAATAAACAAAAAATTAGTTGAATTTAAAGTCCTAAAAATTAGGGAAAATACTTAAATTTATAATTTTATCCAATGTGAAATATATTTTTAAAGAGTAAAAAAGACGAACGATATTTCGCTAAGTGCCTTCGTGTTTTTAATATAGTATAGATATAAATATAGATAATATTTGGTTATGAGCTTAAGGACTAGAGTGAAACCATGAAAAAAAAAGTTGATCTCTATAACAACAAGGATGCATTTTAGCACTTGGTTTTATTTAGCGGGTCGATTTTTACTTTTTAGCGGGTCGGATTGAGTCTATGTGTGGATTTTGTATGTTTTGTTTAGGTGATTATTGATTTATTTACTCCTAAAATATAAAAAGTTCACGTGAACCGCTATGTCATATTTTTTCACCGAAGAATTTGATAATTCAGGTTGAGTAACTAAAATAGAGGTCCCGGAATATGGTAATGGCTTTAATATACAAATTACGACGCAGGAAACAAAACAGTGAGATCGCAGCCTTCCGGAAAAAAAAATCACAGCCTAAAAAATGTAACTGTTTTTTTACAATGCCAGAAAACCAGTGATTTCTTTCAATTCAAGAAAAGTAATATTGAGTCTGAAGACAACTAGGAAACTGGCACTAATTAATTTTGTTTCCATTTTCATTTCATAACTTAACGCTTGCGTGTAGAGATAGGGGAAACGTAATGTGATAATATCTATTTTAGCAGTGTATATATCTGAGAGTAATTGGGGGAGAGTGGTTTTATTTTCATCAAAAGGACAACTCTGGAATCTGATTTAAAGTCAGAATTGGTGGCATCTAAAATCCACATTAATATTCTGGAGTAGTAGTAGGAGTAATAAATAAAACATACGGCCAGATCGTCCGATGCTTTCTGCTTTTCAGTAATAGCAGTAAACAGTTTTAACCAAATCTTTCACCTGCCTACTCTTAGTTCTACTGCCCTGATTTTGTTATCAGAGTAAGGTCAATTATTACATATGCCCTTTTAGTAACCTCTACGGATTTTCACATTTACTTTCTGTCATTTTGTACCTCATATTTACACGCTCAAGAGATTCGCTCATATTCTTTCATAAAAAATTATCACAAATACTTTTCAGAATCGTAGGAAGGTTCATACTGCACCTGTTATTGAATTACTAATAAGTACTAAATTAATAGCTGGTACAACTTCTGATTAACGTTAGGACTAGCTCAAATCAGATTTGGAAAAAAAAAAAAAAAGGAGCCATTCATGTGTAGACTCAAAATGAGTTCATAACCCAAATGATCCTTAAGATTGAGAATCGTTCTATTTTTAGACAAAATTATATTATCTCGAGCATATATAGTCTTTTAAGTATGCAAAAGACTTTTGTTTTTGAAATTGGAGAAAATCTCTATCATGATCATTTTACTCTACTTAATGTGTGACATTTTCGTTAGTTTTTATAGTCCCATTTGGATGATTTCATTGTCACTCAAAAAAAAAAAATCTAGACAAGAGAATCTCTACAAAACAACAATAATAACAAACCAGTAAATTCTCATAAGTGGGTCTAAGAAGAGTAGTATGTACGCATATCTTAACACTGCCCACGAGGATAGAGAGGTTGTTTCGTTAGAATCACTACAAAAATTGAAATGAAATGAAGGTGGGCAAGAAGACCTTGATCACGATTGTTAATTTACTTGGACACGTAAAAAAATACTCAACACTTCCGTTAGTTTTAAAAGATTTACATATTTGAGAGTTGAACAAAAAGTGCTCAACTTTTATAAACTTAAACAATCATATGCTTAAAGGTAATACAATAAAGACAAAAATAGACTTACGCCCAAATTTAAGGGATTATTTGGGTTAAAGCTCGACTTAAAACTAACAAGAAAGTAGCAACGATTCATTTACAAGGGAACTGTAATGGGCAGTAGATCATCAATTGATGATCAAAACTTGAACTAGTATCTTAAGGGTTGAAGATAAGATTTCCACATTTGCATTTCCAACTCATAGGCTTGTAGTTGGAGTTGTCATCGTCTCTGGCATAAGCTATACTGCTGCTGGTTTTGGTAGCTGCGGTGTGGTTCTTATTACCATTTGTTATTTGGGGATTTGTTGGAACTTGAATGGCTTCACAATGTCCACAAGAACCACATCTTTTTTCACACCTAGGTGGCCTCGACCCAATTTGTGATCTGAAAATCGCATTCTTTTCGCTCTCTGTCTAACCAATTCAAACATAAACAAACCCAAGAAAATCAGTATCAAACACTGCTTAAATATGCAATCATACGAAAAACAGTAAACAAAAGAAACATAGTACGTCGAAACAGTGTGCAAATTTTACCTGGTCATGCCCGTGAGTTGTATGCAAAATTCTACCTGTAAAATGAAAAGAATGGAACTACAATACGTCAAATTTTAGCTTCTAATGTTGCATAGTGCGTGTAAGTGAGAAAGATAAAGACAGAGCAGAAGAGTCTGCTTAGTTAACAGAGGCCAAGAAAGTATACCTTCAGCCTTGAATGTTAGGTGGGAAAAGCTTAAAATCATGAGAATGAGAAGTGAAATAGTAAGACAGGGAAGTGTTTGGCGACATGTGAAATTCTGAGTGCAACCCATTTCAAATTTCAAAAGGAATGATTGGACTTGAAAGAGAATGTTTATCTCCTCGTAGTCTTGTATATATGGACCAGCTAAATTTGTCCAGGAGTTTGGGGGGAAGTTGATGGTAAAAGATAAGAGTAGAGAGTAGTAAAAAAGCAAGAAAGGGAAAGATGGGAGCGATGGAGATGTGAGGAAAAAGCGTAAAGAGTTTTAAAGCAGATGTTGAAAATGATGAGTGAATGAATGAGTACTTAATCAAATGTCAACCTCTATCTGATATGTTTTTTTTGTAATGGTGCTGTAATTCCAATAGATGAGTTGAAATATGATAGAACGTGGAATGACAAAAAGGAGGATGAGTATTGCAGAAGGCAGCTTCAACAAATGGAAATCAGGAATTGAAAGCAGCTCCGAAAAGGGAAGAACCTCAACTCTCCTCGTTCAATGAGCCACCCGTTTCAGTTTCAGACAGCTAAAAGACGCAGTGATACACTGTTAAAAAAGGACTTAAATAAAGTGATATAAACAGGGAGGAGTTGTTTGGTACAATGGCCAGATAAATCATGAGATTAGCTTTTATATGCAATAGTTAATGCCACACTTTTTCTGGAGTTATTTATAATAAAACATGGGATAAATATGAGATTATTATCCATAACTCATGTACCAAACGATCCCCGAAGATTCATATAGTTGATCTCAAACTTTGATATAATTATTTTTGTTGTACGATTTACAAAAAAAATAAATTATTGACTATTTAAAAGTTAACTAGTTTGTTACATGTCAAAATAATAAGTATAGTAATTTGTTACTAAAATTTATTAAACTATGGTAGCAGTATATATAAAAATAATTTAATTGTTGGTGAACAAGTAAAATGCAAAAGAATAAAGCAGAAGAAGAGAGGTAATGTAACTTGGGAAGCAGCAATGGATAGTGAATGAGGGGATTAGTAAAGGAAAAATGACATTGTATAGCCGCTATGAATAATAACCGAAAAAATATATTTTTTCCGTTTCAATTTATGTGAACCTATTTAATTGGGCACGTAGTTTAAGAAAAGAGAGAAGACTTTTGAACTTGTGGTGTAAAATAAGGTGCATATATTTTGTGTGGCTAAAAATTATTGCATAAAGGTAAATTGTTTCCAAATAAGTAAAGGGGTCATTCTTTTTGACACGGACTAAAAATGAAATATATTCGAAACGGAGGGAGTATAAAATTTGTATATTTTATATATATATAT